CCTGCCCAGCCACCTGCTCCCCACTCTGCCTGCAGGTGGTAGACAGCTTTCAGAAACAGGCAGGCACACCAGGAGCCGACAGGGTGGAGTGGACTGTCCATGACAGACCACTGTGTGGGAAAAGGGACCCAGAAGCCTCAGTCAGCCAATCAGGCAGAGTGGCCTCATGCAAGTCACCAAACGCTGCAGGCCTCAGCTTCTGGGTCAATGAAATGGGGATGTATACACATGCCCCTCAGATGGGTATATGGAATACAACATGCCTTCATTGGTGTCACTGCAGCAGATGACAGGTGGTTCGGGGAGCCAGGACACACAGCCCAGGGCCTGGCCCCGTATCCTTTCCTGCAGTGGGACTGTGTGTCACGGTCCCTCTCTGACTACCAGAGCTGCCCGGTGTAGAGAAACAGCCCAGTAGCCCAGTAGCCCAGTACTCATGACAACTGAGAGGGAACAAAGCCAGGCTTCCCCAGACCTCAAGTACCTTGCGGGGGGAGGGGGACCTCAACACTCCACAAGCAAGACTACTGCAGCCCCCTCAAGGAGGGAGATGAAGGTGAGCAGGAGCCTGCATTGCACCCCGTTGTAGCCCAAGGAGCTGGGAACACAGCCACCTGGAGTGGGCTCGAAGGCCCAGGCTTCCACACCCCCTAGAGGGGATAGGGGCTGGAATGCGGAGAAACAGACAAGTCCTGCCTAGAAACAGGCTTTGGGGGTGTGGGGGCTGTTGAGCCGGCAGGTCTGGTCTGCAGGACGACTGATTCACAAAGCAGGTCCCTGGGGCCACTTGCTTAACGCACCAGGGACACGTCTTCTTAGGAAAAGACGACAGACTGAAATAGGAGCCCGGAAAATAATTAATCTGTGAGCGGATTTTACTTAAGTGTTGATTCATGGCTGTGCTCTAAGCCAACCGCCCGTCAGAACTATAAATTAACGCGATAAAACGTGGCTGGCCCTCCATATTTCAGGCTGTGTATTGACGTGTTAGAATCCTCGGATTTTTAAGTGTATTGATTGAGGACGCTGGGATAAATGGCTTTGGCGCCCAGTTCCCATTAGCGGAGATGGGCACAGAGTGACTCATCCCTGCACCGAGGACGCCCGCACTGCCTTCTCCTGGCAGGAGGTACTAATTAGATTGAAATGAAAAAGCCCAATCACCAGGGGCGGAAAAAGCAGATCAACTAAAAAGGACCAAATCAAAGTGGCCAGAAACAGAGCTGCCCGTGTCCCCTAAACTTGGTGAAAGAGAGTGGGGGGACACTTGGGGAGCCCCATGTCCTGAGGCAGGCAATCGGGTGGGGACTCTCCCACAGTCCCTGGTGGGTTTTGCTCCCCAAGGAAGGAGGGTGTCAGTGTATAGTTCAGCTTTGTCCAGTCCTATACAGATGGCAGAAACACAAAAGACCACCGAGACAGGCCCACCCTTAAGGATTCCCCACACCAGTCAGGGCCTCAGACACAGAAACCAACCCCAACCTCAGGAGAAGCCTCGCCTGTAGGCCTGTACACAGTCAGTGCCCAGTCAGTAACTGCTGAATGGATGATAGAGCCAGAAGTAGGGGAAGCAGGTGGCACATGCCATTCCCAGCGGGGCAGCATGAGATAGCCTGAATCACCCCACCCTCACCATGACCCGGGCAGGGGCTGCGGCGGGGAGAAAAGAGGCAAAGTCCTGCAGGATGGAAGCTGCCTGAACCCTCTGCAACTCCTGACACCACAGAGCAGAGGACAACCAGAGATAGGGCACACAGCCCACCCACCTCCTCCAGGAGACCATCCCAACCCTGTCCTCTCCAACTATCCCCAACTTTAACCCTTTCTTGCTGCAGCTGCTGTAGACCAGCTCCAAACGCAAAACAAGTCCACGTTCCACCTGCTTCCAAGCCAGCTGTGGTCCCCTACTGCCACCTGCTGAAGCAGTCCTCACTCAGCACCCAGGAGCCCCCATAGGTGCCTCGGAAGTTCTGACCACGCACACACACACACACACACACACACACACTCATATACACATTCTCACTCAAACCCACACTCAATCATATACTCATACTCCCACACACCCACATACACACACAACACACTCACACACACAACATACTCAGACACCCGCATACACACACAACACACACTCACATAACCCACACAATACACACTCACACACACCTTGTACACCCATACAAACTCACTCATGTGCATAATTATTAATATACACTCAGTCTCACACAAACACACTCCCACTCCCACACACGTGCTTGTACACCCACACAAACTCGCTCACACATATACAGTCTCACAAAGCTACTCACACACACAAACACACACCCTCCTCCACACACATAGAAGCACACACACATTGTCACACATCCTCTTGCACCCCCACAAACATACACACTCATGCACACATTTGATTTTACTCATAAACACACAAACACTTCCATGCCCACAATCACTCTCACAACTGCACACATACATGCACACTGAGACATATACATGCATACACTCATATATATATATATATATATATATATATATATATATATATGCTTATGTATATCCACAACCTTAAAACACACTCACACATACATACTCATTCATACACATGCACACTCAGACATTTCTACACCCTCACACATACACACACACATGTGCACACTGTCTTAGGCTGCTGGGCTCTCTAGAGAAACAAAACCAGTGAAAGTTACATATGTGTTTGTGTATATATATATATATATATATAGTTGTTGTTAGCTGCCATCGAGTCGGCACCGACTCATAGCTACCATAAGCACAGCAGAAAAGTTTACATCACGGAAATGGCTGGCAATTTTAGAAGAGTCAGAGGAACCAAGATCGGCAGGCAGGCAGGTCTGGCAGACAGGCAGGTCAGGCAGGCAGACAAACTCAAGTCCAAAGAACCAGAGGTTGGAGGACAAGCCAGATGCAAGATCCTGAGCCAGCAGAAAGCAAGCAACCTTAGCTGGAGTGTCCACTATATTGGAAGCAGGCCACACCCACAAGGAAACGTTCTTTCAATGGATTGGCTGCTCATAGCCAATCATCATAGAGTTAACTACACCTGATCATGACCAATCATCATAGCGTTAACTGCATTGTATTAGATCTCATCATGGAGGTAACCACATCTCAACCGCCAAATCACTAGGAATCCTGGCCCAGTCAAGCTGACACAAAACCTAAAGTATCACACACATACACTCACAGAGACACACACATGTTCACATACTCACACTGAGACACACTCATACACACATGCTCACACTCACACTGGCATTTGTTGGTTTCACGTCTGGCGAATGAGAAGACAGGTGAATCCACTGATGTCATCGGGTGAATCTACGCTTGGCAAGCCCACAACATGGCACACATGTGAAGATGTCCTAGGGCAGGGTGTGAGAGCAGCATTGAGTCTTCTTCCCCCCATGGTGCATGCGCCTTCTGTGAGGGACCAGGGGCAACATGCCCGCTGTGGGAACTGCAGGACACATGTCCTCACAGCTCTTTACCCACTTCCATCACCACCATGGCAACAAATGGAATATGCTCTGCATGTCTGTCTGCCCAACAGAGAGACGCTTCCCCAGGACACTGGGTCTGGCCAGTGGACACAGAAGCAGCAGAGTGGAGCAGTCAGGCAACTGGACTCTGGCTGGTTACTGGTACACACCTTGGCACAAGTATGAATGGGGGTCCTAGCGGAGCCCACCTTAGAGGGTGACAGACCTGGACAAGAGGCTGTGTATAAGCAGGCTGAGCACAAAGCAGGTGCTTGGGCATCAGATGGCACCACAGCCCCAAGCCTGGCTCTGCCATCTGTCCTGCGGATTGACAGGCACTGAGAGGGTCAGCGTGAAGACAGGCGCTGTGTCTGGAACTGGGGGTGCGGGCCCTGCACAAGTTGGAGGACAAGCCCTGCTCAGTGTATGCTGCTGTGAGGTGAGGCCTCCTGTTCTGCCAGATGGGAAGCCACACTGCCATGGGGACCACCACATCTGTATGCACACAGCACCACCAAACGCTGCCGGCACATCCCATCCCCACTCCTCATCCCCAATGGAGAAAGCATGGCGCTCATTAAGAAGAGCTGTGGGCCCTTGCTCCACAGAGGTGAGCAGGGCAGGTAAGATGTGAAGCTGGCCCCTAACCCACCACTCTTCCCCTACGACCTGCTCACAGTTCTGGGACAGAGTTGTAACAGGTGGGACCCTAGGTCCCAGCTACTTCCTCTTGGCCTCTGGGAGGGACACAGGCCAGCAGGGGGCTCAAGAAAGCCCTGGAGCTGGCATGAACCCTGCCCTGGTAATGACTCCCACAGAAAAGGAGCCAAAGAGGGGTCCTGAGGAGCAAAACACAATGTGGGGGTGGGTAGAGCCAGGGCTCAGAGTTGGGGTGCCTAGTTCTGAGCCCAAGCTCTGTCCCTACCTGTAATAGATGTCCTGGGGGAGGTGGACAGTGTACTAACAGCCCCTATTTGTAGGAGGCTTGGTCCTCTCTCCTTGCCTGCTTGCTGCACACCCCCTCGGGGTCTCTCCACACAAATCCATCTTCCCCACATGCCCGCAGTGTGGGCAGCAGAGCAGAGCCCATCTAAAGACTTCCCTCACAAGCTGGAATCGTTCCTGATAGCCTTTCAGCGGTAATGAGCTGACAGGAATTCCAAACGGATTCCAACCAAAGGACGCGCTGATAAAGTTCAATCTATTTCGCTACAAATGACATGTCAGAAATTGATCAACAGCTACCTCTTTATCCAGTCCTACAGCTTGGGACTGAGACAACCTGGGGGCTGCATCCTCACACCGGAACCTGTGACGCACGGCGGTGCCAGCAGGTAATCTGCCTGGAGACCCCTCACTGGGCAGGGCCAGCAGCCCATCTGAGGACCCTGCCCAGTTGCCCTAGCAGATTGCCTCCTTGAGAGAAGACAGAGCTAGGCTGCCAGCTCTGGAGGCAGAACTAAGCTGAAAGAATCACACCTGTTTCAAGGTCTGTCAGGTGCAGGGCAAAGTCGAAGCCGCCGCTCAGGATGCGCTGGCCACAGGGAGACCAGCGGGCAGCCCGCACCGCCTCGGTGTGCATGGTGTAGGTCTGCAGGCACTGTCCCGAGTCCACAGCATCCCACACCTACAAGACAAACACAGACAAGCCCAGTGTTACCAGTGGACCAGAAGAGCCCCCACAGAGTGCTATCATTTACAACCAGGACCATATCTGGAGGCTAACTTGTCCTTGTCTAAATGTAAAGGCATTGGCTGGCCAGTTGAGGGGTGCTTGTCCCAAACAACTTCAGAGAGTTCAGGAAAAGCAGTACTTACTAAGTCCTGCTGCTCATCGGTCACCTGTCAGGGCTCAAAGCAGGAACTTCAAACTTGCCTCCAAATACAGAGAAACTCAGAGACAGAAGATGGAGGCAGCAGCTCCAGATAGCTGACAGGGTCTAGTTAAGGCATTACTTACTGAAATGAAGCCCCCAGATGGAGCAGGGACTTTTCCAGCTCTGGTGAATGTCAGGGTCCCAGACTCTAAGTTTACCCCCAGCAGGTGTTACATAAGAATAACTTAACAAGTGGAAGTGAGCTAGCAGCAAGTAGGAGGGTAGCCATATTCAGCCCCTAGAGAACCTGTTTCCTACATTGCCTTTGCTCACCCCTGGAGGAGCCTGCTCTTCAGACCCAGGCACTGTCCTCTGAGAAGGCACTTCCGGGCTCTGTGTGGACACAGGGTCTGCTTTAGGACTGCTGTCCCAAGTTCACAGGAAACAGCTGTCCTCAATCCTGGAGTGAAGGCCCTGTCCCTTATGCCCACCTTGTTTCTCTGGGGAATGTGACTCATGGGAGGATGCTCTCAGCACGCCTAGTGACCTGTGGAGTGTGTTGTTCAGCCCCCAAAAGTAAGAACTGTCCACTCAGTAGGAAACAGGAAGGTGAAGGACCTGCAGACCCATGTGGGTGAGAGTCCAGCTCCCCTCAGACACTCTATCTGACCACACACAGCTAGGAAAAATGTCCGAACATGGACATTCAACAGCTGGTCCCAGACTGGACACTTGTGGAGCTCCACAGTGCTAGCCTCTGGCCCTCAGGGCACCACAGGAAGAAGGGGCACTTGTGTACCCTAGGCCAGCTTAGGGGATTGACCATGAGAATCAGGAAGAGTCATGTAGCCAGCAGGAACCCATTGGAGACAGGTGCCCTCCCACCTGCAGTACTGCCAACCAGACACAAGACTTAGCCCAGTGGCTTCAGCCCTGTGAGCCTCAGTCTTCCTAACTTTCAAATGGGACTACAAGCACCTGCTTCTGAAAGGTGATATGTGTGTGACTCGCCACATGATTGGGGCTGATGGATGCTGGATCATGCATGCATCCTATTCACTGTCCCTGGTCAGTCTCAGTGACCTCAGGGAAACTGAGCATTTCTTTCCCTAATGAGCGGAAACCCCCACAAAGCACACCTGTGTCCATCCAGACACACACTCCACAGCATCACCTTGCTATTAAAGACGAGCAGACTCATCCCAATCCTGCTGCTCCAACGCATGAAGTACCTGCACTCTGAAAGCAGGTTTCCTGAGAAATGCGTCAGTCACTGTGCTCAGGAATGCAAGGGGTTGAGAAGGGTCATCAAAGGACGTGAGGAGAGCTAAACCCCGTCTCCAGCTGTCTTGTCTGGTGTTAGCTGTCGCCAAGTCAAGGCCAGGTGTGCAGACTGAAACGGCTTCATAGGGAAGCAGGCCAGGCCTTGTCTTCTGTAGGTTTGCATGGCCAACCTTTAGGTTATTAGCCAAGCACCATCTGTGTGTACCAGTTAGAGACCCCTGTAGGAGTCTATGGGCACGGCTCAAACTGAAACACCAATACACAGTCGTGCTTGCTGTCCTGGTGTGGCGCTATAGGATAAAGCTCTGGACCACAAGATCGGTTTGAACCTCAGGTTGGTGATTCAAATTCACCAGTAGCTCCTTAAAAGCCCTATACAGGGTTGCTTATGAGTCAAAAAATACTCAATGGCACTTCACAACAACAACGGTAAAAATGGAACTTCTGGTGTGGTGCCGTAGAATAAGCACCAGACTGCAGAGTCAGTTTGAACCACAAGGTCAGCAGTTCAAACTCACCAGCCACTCCTTGGAAATGCTACACTGGGTCGCTATGAGTCTAAATGAACTTGATAGCACTTAACAACAACTATAAAATTGGTTGGTGTGGGACAACTTGGACATTGGCTACCCAAAATGGGGGAGGGGAGCACAAAGGCAATAAGTGACTGGCTTACAAGCTTTCAAGAGGCAACCTAGATCCAGAGGGCGTGGAGGAAGGTAGAATCTCCACTGAGTAGTATCCAACCTGTCTGGGTGGGGCTGATGAATAATTGTTATCAGGACTGCTTGTCAGGGTTGGAAATGTAAAGGTAGTCGTTTTCTACAAGGAGAGGAGTGATTAACTTTGCAGTCTAGGAGCGGAGGTCCCTGGGACCATCAAGGGAGAAGAGCAGAGAGTGGGACCCTACCCAGAGAAGCAGTGACACCAGAGATGGAGGCAGAGACGAAGACGTGGAGAGATGGAGCAGCTGGGAACTTTAGACCCAGAGAGGGAGAGGGGTTGTGTGCTGATGACCTGGGGTCGGGGGGCAGACTTGTAAGATATACCCTTTGGTTCACTGATGATGCATGGAGGGGACTGTAACCATGGCAATGAAATGACATACGACAATATGAATGTAAAACTAATGTTACCCCATGTAAACTATCACATAATTCCCAATAAAACATTAAAAAAAAAAAAAAAATGGTGTTGGGGCCACATCAGACCGCCTCCAATTCCACAAGGGGGAAGAAGAATCAAACTGAACATCAACCCAAGGCCGATACCCATGAAGTAGTCAGACATGTCTTCACCCTCCAATCTTTTTCCCGATTCTGACAGTCACCACCCTCCCGAGGCACCCCTACCTCTCTCCCAGGCTTGATAATCCACTGCAGCGGCCACACTCACAACTCTGGGGCTGGTTGGAGAAGTTAGCAGGTTACAATTCAGGATGAGGGACGCTCAGGGTACAGTTTCCCAGTGAGAGCAGTTCTCCTCCGTCTTGCCCGCAGGCACGCCTCTCTTGGTCTTCAGCCTCTCAGCCACTTGGCCCCTTGGCCTCTGCCCAGCTCGGGCAATGCTACAAAGCTCTCTTTGCACTGCTGATAACTGCCCAAAGAGTACTCTGCTCCACCAGAAGCCTCAGTCCAAAGGCACTTGGCTAGAGCAGAGTGGGTCAGCAAGATAGCACCCCCGATTAAGTGCCCTGAGGCACCCCACTCCATAAGCGAGCCGCCTGCTTAAAGGCACTCAGCTTTCTCGATCTCTGGGCCTGGAAGCCCACCACTCATGCTCTTAGTACTGCTGTCCCTGCGCCACCGACTGCCCACTTCAACACCCCTTCTCCAGTATCAAAGTCCTCTGCATGCGGGAGATCTCAGGGACCAAAGGACACACGCCACTCCTGGTTCTTCTTTGATGGCAGTGAAATCCCCAACCTGACTTCTGAGATGGCTCATTTTAAACCCAGCAGAATGGCAAAACTTACCAGTCTCCATGTTCAAGAGACATATGCCGTATTTGCACAGTCCCACCCAGTCACTGAACTGCAAGGTTGGCGGTGCAAGCTCACCAGCTGCTCCTTGGAAATCCTATACAGGGTCGCTATGGGTCAGAATCAACTCGACGGCACTTGACAACAACAACCCAGTCATTTGGTGGGAGGTACAAGCGCTATGGCTTCCAGAGTCCTAGCAAGTCAATGGGTGCACTACTGAGCACCCCCTGGCTCTCCTAACCATTATCCCTTTCACAATGAAATGACTGACTTTGTCTCCCAATCACATCTTTTACAATCAATTTTTACAATCACAGCTAACCCTGTTAGCAATCACTTACAACTGAGTCACATGATCCTATCAGCATCTCCCCTATTGCCCTCCCCCAGAGCCATCGGGAAAGCAGGAAACTATTCAGTGGGGATTCTCATTTATCCTCCTTATCTGGAGACTAAGCACACCCATGAAAGTGTGCAAGCCAGACACTTCATGCCTTTCTCGCCCCTCGTTGTAGCTATCCAATGTCTAAATTACCTGTTCCATCAACTCAGTACTCTGAGGAGATAAGCATGTTCCTGGATCTGAAAAATCTCCAATTCTGGTTAGAATTTTAAGCAACTGCAACCATAAGCAAGTCCAGAGCACCAAGCTGGGCACACAGGGCAGCTGGATCTGCTATGGGCGAGGGTCCTAGAAGAGAGAGTGACAGAGGGTGATGTGGACCAACTGGACGCAATAGAGCCAGAGTGACCGGTCCATTGTTAGGTGGCACCATCAAGACTTCGGGTGGATTGCTGGTGGGGCATAAGGGCAAGAGCAAAATCCTGGACAGCCCCCAAGTTTCTGGCCTCATCACCAAGTGGATGTAGCTGCAATGAGCTGGATTGGATCAGACTATAGAGGGGTAAGTCTGAGGGGAAGAGAACGAGGGGTTGAGTGTTGTGGAACTCTACCCGAACTATCCATTAGAGTGGGCCACTGGGATGTGAGTGTAAGGCTGAGAGAGAGGGCATCACTAGCTGGAGGGATCCCCAAGAGAGGACATGTGCACAGAACAGAGAGGAGGCCTGGACCTGAGGAGCCCGTGTTGGGTAGGGGGTGGAAGGGACACTAAGGAGAACCCAGAAAAGGAGTCCAAGAAGAAGCTGGTGGGGTGGGAGGAAGTAAGAGGGCTCTCCTGGGCAGAAAGAAAGAAACCATCCTAAGGAAAACTGGCTGATCAACTGTGAGAACTGGAAATGGTCCTAGGTTTACTCGGCATCATTGAAGAAGAGGAAGGAAGGGTGGAGAGGGGAGAAGAAAATAAAGGAAGGGAGTAGTAGGGAGGAGGGGCAAGGAGGATGAGGAAGAAGCAGGTCATGGTAAGAAAGAAAAGAGAAGAGAAAGAGGCAGAAATATGGGAAGGAAAGAAGAGAAATCCGTGGTTCCATGAACAAAAGTAGAAAAGTGGGAAGTTTTCATCCGTCATGGGAACCTGTTTAAGGAACCTCCATCTGTAAACTGCCTTACAAACAGAAACAGAACAACCAGAGGGGACTAAG